ACCCACAAAGGGTGTGATAATGTGTTTATCTTTGAGTGGGGTTCTTATAAAATTGCACTTGCTCCTGTTAATCAATCTAGAAAATTAGAAAAACCACAAGCTGTAAGTTTAAATTTTCTAGCTATCTCCAAGAATAGCCACAAGTTTGAAGACATTATTAAAGAAGTTGGATTCATATGTCTAATTGTTCTTAAAGGGCTTATGGTGACAAATGTTGTTTCAAGTCACGTTCCAAAAAAAGTGTAGGAAATTTTGAGTGAGTATAAGAATCTGGTTTCCGAGGATTTACCAGCACAACTTTCTCTTATGCGAGATATTCAACATTAGATTGATTTAGTCCCTGGAGAAAGCCTACCTAATCCTCCCTATTATCGGATGAGCCCAGAGGAAAATGTGATCTTGAAAGAGAAGATCAAAGAGCTGCTGGAAAAAAGGATTTATTCATGAGAGCATGAGTCTTTGCGCAATTCCTATCTTGCTAGTGGAAAAAAAAAAAAAAAGAACACCTGGCATATGTGTGTTGACAGTAGAGCCATTAATAAAATCACCATCAAATATAGATTTTTAATTTTACGGTTGGAGGATATATTGGATGTCCTTAAGGGTTTTAAGGTGTTTTCAAAAATTGATTTACGTAATGGCTTATCACCAGATTCGAATTAAACCAAAGGATGAATGGAAGACGACATTTAAGAGCAAGAAGGGTCTGTATGAATGGCTAGTGATGCCATTCGGATTATCAAATGCACCAAATACTTTCATGCGACTCATGAACCAAGTTTTGCGTTCTTTTACTAGGTCATTTGTAGTTGTGTACATTTTGTGCAATTAAGACAGGTTCTGGATGTTTTGAAAGAGAACAAGCTTTATATTAATTTGAAAAAGTGCACATTCTTTACAAGTAAGCTGTTATTTTTAGGGTATATTGTTAGCGAAGATGGAATTTATGTGGATCAGGACTAAGTACGTGCAATCAGAGAATGGCCAACTCCAAAGACTGTAAGTGAGTTATGTAGTTTTCATGGCCTTGCTACTTTTTACAGGTGTTTTGTACAAAACTTTAGTACCCTTGCAGCCAAAATTACTGAATGTCTCAAGCAAGGAAAGTTTCACTAGGGTGAAGCACAATATAAAAAGCAAGGAAACTTTAGTACCCTTCCTAACTTCAAAAAGATATTCGAAGTCGAATGTGATGCAAGTGGATTAGGGGTGGGAGCTATGTTGTCTCAAGAAAAAAGACCAGTGGCATTCTTTAGTGAAAAATTTATTGAAGTCTGTCAAAAGTGGAGTACTTATGATCAAAAATTTTATGCAGTTGCGCATGCGTTGAAGCAATGGAAGCATTATCTAGTGCAGTGAGAATTTGTTTTTTACACTGATCATGAAGCCTTGAAGTTCATCAATAGCCAAAGAAGTATGAGTATAATGCATTTCAGATGGGCCACTTTCCTTCAGAAATTTCCTTTTGTAATTAAGCATAAATCTGGATCTCTCAATCATGTTGCTGATGCTTTGAGTCGGAGAGCAGACTTGTTGACTACTTTAGCACAAGAGATTGTGGGATTTGAATTTCTAAAGGAGTTTATACGAAGCTGATCTTGATTTCAAAGAAGTTTGGGTGAAGTATGTTCAGAGTCAGCCTATTTCAGACTACCAAATGAGAGAAGGATATTTGTTTAAAGGCAATAAGTTATGCATTCCCAGCTCATCCCTATGAGAGAAGCTTATTCGAGATATTCATGGAGGCGGTTTAGGTAGGCACCTAGGAAAAGACAAAACCATTACAGGAGTTTAGGAACGTTATTTTTGGCCTCAGTTGAAGAAGGATGTTGGAAAAATTGTGAGAAATTCCTAAGGATGTTGGAAAAATTGTGAGAAATTGCTATGTTTGTCAGGTGTCAAAGGGACAAACTCAAAATACTGGTTTTTATATGCCTTTACTGGTTCCTAGCGATATTTTGCAAGACTTGTCCATGAATTTTGTGTTGGGACTTCCTCGAACTCAGAGTGGGGTGGATTCTATGTTTGTTGTGGTTGACAGATTCTTTAAGATGACACACTTTATAGCTTGTAGAAAGATTTTTGACGCTACTCACATAGCCAGATTATTTTTCAGAGAGGTGGTGCGTTTGCATAGTATACCCAAACTATTATATCTGATCATGAAACCAAATTTCTGAGTCATTTCTAAATTACTCTATAGAAGCTCTTCGGTACTACCTTGAAGCATAGCAGTACAACGCATCCACAAACAGATGGCCATACAGAGGTGACTAATAGAATGCTGGGTAACATGGTTCGGAGTGTCTGTACTGATAGATCAAAGAAGTGGGACAATGCCTTGCTGCAAGTGGAGTTTGCTTACAATAACACAGTTCATAGTGCCATAGGAAAGTCTCCTTTCTCTTTGGTATATACTTCAGTTCCTAACCATGTCGTTGACTTGGTAAAACTTCCCAAAGCTCATTGAGTTAGCATAGGCGCTTAGCAACGTTATTGAGGTTAAAGAAGAAGTGTCCCAAAGCTCATTGAGTTAGCATAGGCGCTCAACAACGTTATTGAGGTTAAAGAAGTGCGAGATAAGCTAAAAAAAAATCAATGCTAGGTACAAAGCTGCTGCAGACAAGCATAGGCGTGCTAAAGTTTTCAATGAAGGAGATTATGTGATGGTTTTTCTCAGAAAGGAGCGATTTCCTGTTGGAACTTACAGAAAGCTGAAGCCGCGCAAGTATGGACCTTATAAGATTTTAAGGAAGATCAATGATAATTCCTATTTATTAACCTGCCTGCATCTATGGGAATTTCAAGCACTTTTAATGTTACAGATTTGTACAAGTATCATGGAGATGAAGCTCCTTATTCTAAAGATAACTCAGAGGCGAGTTCTTTCAAAGTGGAGGAGTCTGATGCAGAACGCTTGGCAGGGGAATTTGAAACACAAATTGACAGGTGCATAGTAAAGACGAAAAGGTCATGAGTATTGTATACTGAGATTTAAATGGCATTCAATAGATATAATTAATCACGCATGTTTTAAGTATAATAAATAGACAAAGTAAGTGTTGCCTTACTTGAGACTTTCTCTCATTTTCTGGTGGATTCCAGATAAACTTTTAAGGGTGAACGCTAGGATCCCTCTGTTATTTTATTTGACCGCGTCAGGTGTTTGTTTCCTCTGATACAAGATCATCTCCTCCCTGTTTTTTATCATTCATGCTAAAGTTTGGAACTATGCTCCTTTACAAACTATGATCAGATATATATATTCACTATCTAAAAGAGAAAAATTCAATCTTTAATACATATGAACACGAAAGATTTGTGTGGGATGATTGATTAATAATACGATCTTTCACTTTTTCTATCAATACAATTCATATATATTGTTTAAGAAGTACATTGTTTCTCAGCAATTCATGAAACACAACACCAACATATGCCAAGAGTTGCACCCGTAACATATTTCCAAACTCAACAAGCATGACCTTCATCTCTTTTCAATGAACCCAATTAATTATCTTTTTGTAACTGTATATGGCGAGAAGTGTGATGTTGTTGGTAACCAGAGAAAGGATATGGTTTTTACCTCTTATTTAAAAAATATTATTCACCATATTATAATATATATATATATATATTAAAAAACACTTTAATGCCATGAAAAGATTTGGATTTTGTCTCTTTGATATTGACGATTCATTTCGAACTATTACATGGGATATCGAGTTTTTCTCACAATTCTATGTCTATGAAATCCCTTTTGAAGATTTTCAGTTTCCTTTGTTTTCAATTGATTTAACAAGTGGAAAAACATAGATCTCAAAAAGAGGAGAAAGGCTTGTTAGAATTGATTAAGCAACTCTTAACCAAGGCTTGCTAGAATTGATTAAGCAACTCTTAACCATTAACAAGCATTGCGTGTTCATAAAACTAAGAACATGGTTGCCACTTGTTCAGTTCATACTCTTAAGCTACACAAGCATTGGGCAAACCACCGGGTCCCCCAAACTGGAATCGGTAATAGGGATGTGTATTCTGCTTACCAGCTTTGAAACATCTAGATTGTAGAACTTGCACAGGGTTGTCATAAGGAGACATGAATGTATTTCCTATGTTGACTTGAACCTTTACCATGTTGCAAGTTGAATTGTAGTTACCATCTTCAAAAAAACCACTTCCCATGGCAGGTGAAACATCAGTTTCGGTATGGACCAGACCTCCCCATGTTGCGTTGTAACCTCCAACACTAAATCCGGAGAATGAGAACAATTCTCTCGGCCAGTAACCTATTCGAATGTTATCGTCCTGCATTGACAGCCACCAGTCTTGGCTTAGTGGATCCTGCATGCCAAGATTATAAAAAAGTCAAATAGGCGATTAATTTTACTGCTTAACCTTTAAGTGAGTTTTCAAAAAATGGTTTTATGTTGTTTTTTCAACGTAATACCACCAACTTTCTTATGATATCAATAAAGGAGAAGGATTGCCAAATTTATTTTATATTTTCTAATATCACGGATACACCTTGCTTGCCAAATTTATTTTATATTTTCTAATATCACGGATACACCTGGCTCTAGTACGAATAAGTAGCTACTTTCACACTACTTCCAAGAGCCAAATCACGAGTAAAAGCTCATTAACTTGAGGTGCGATCATACACTTGCATGTGAGTTGCGTTACACAGTAATTCCCAGGGCTAGATACACAAGTGAAAAAGGATTGCCCTCTGATTCACTTTCAAATATTAAAATGGGTAGCCTGAGTGTTCCCTTTCCTTTCTGTAGTCCAAAACCCATTAAACCTTCTACTGGGAAAAATACCAGAAAGTGAGGAAATCATACCAGAGTTACCATCATCCACTGGAAAACTTGAGACCGTTGAGCAATGGAGACATCGTTAAAAGCTGTATCAATAGGAATGCTTGGATTTGTTACAACAAATCCTGAACAAAGTGTGTTGTAACACCCGTCTACAGATCCATCATGCTCTTCCTGTGGAAGACAGAAAATTTGTTCAAAATCCATTATATTTCTCTGACATCGTATGTATTCAAGAAATAAGGACACTATGTTCTTACACTCCATTTGGTGAACAATCTAGCCCTGCTGTCACCATACAATTCTGGATCAATCTGCGGAAGGTAACAAGATTCATATACTATTGGATAAGTAAAAAAAAATGGAAAAAACTATAATTAATTATATAATTACATTTCTTTGATAATTAAGAAATAATGTAGTTTAGAAATATACTGTCCATCCAACTTGAATACTGCCCACTTTTGTTTCAGTCTGAGTTTGAAGCTGAATCAGAGCTGTACTTGATTGCTGACCACTAACAGGAGGCTGGTATACGCTAATGCGTGCTGCAATCCCCTTAAATAATACATCGGCTGGTGGTGTTGTAACAATTCCTGCAAACTACATAGAGAAAAAATTTCATCGGATAAGGCTATTTTATTTAGAATTTTAATATGAGGAATTGCTAAGATGAAATTAAATCCATTTTCTTTAGAACTTTGGGTTTTAATTACCAAACATGTTTTTCGACAAAATATAGAGTTAATCTCACAAAGACATGTAAAAGCTGATTATTAGATTAAAAGCATCTGTTTTTTCTTCTCTTATAATTAATTATTTAATCACATGTAAAAGCTGATTATTAGATTAAAAGGATATGTTTTTTCTTCTCTTATAATTATTTAATTAATCAAAATTCTTCTAAACAAGTTGTGTTGTTTTGTTTTTGTTGTGTACGAAACAGTGATTAATTAATAATACATGGACCATATATATAAATCAAATGAAGTATTAATATTAAAAAAATATATGAAAATTTATAGTGAAGGTTATTTATTACTTACATCATAACCTTGACCAGGGTTACTTGGTTCAAAACTCGATAGTCTCTGGAAACTAGATTTAGCCCTTCTCAAATCTTCCTTTGTGGCCCTTCGTAGAGGGACAGATCCTGCAGGGCACCCTTCTTTCAACCCTAGTTTTGTAGGGTTAGTCTCCAATAGAGATGCATCCTTCCTTGAAGCTCTTAAAATCTTTTCCAAAGCTAGGCTAGGCCTCGTCTTTTCTCGCAAAGGTGGGGAGGAAAAGGAAACGTCAACAATATTATTTACTCAAAACTTGTAGCAAAATCATCTCAAGGCACACATAAAATACTCAAAACGTCTATTCTTAAGATAGGTTCATAAGATCAAAATATAGGCAATGAACCTTGGCTTTGCGATCCTTGAGCAGTGGATGGTCAAAAGCAGGTTGTTTGTTTATGTCCACACAGTCATATATGTCTCCATACTCTGTCTGTGATCACCAAAAAATAAAAACAATGTAATAATTAATAGGAAGAAAATACAATCTTTTATGAAGTTTTTCAATGAAATAAAAAGCATAAAAGCATAACCTTACCTCAATAGTTTTTATGCTTGGCTTGTTTATTGCTGCAAGTTCCTTCTCCAGCTCTACATCTTCACTGTGTATAGATCTCCCATTCACTACACATCCATTTGACGCGATATATGCTGTCAAAACAATAGCTACAAGTCTCATTATCTTTCTCATATCTCTAGCCATTTTTCTCTGAGTTGTGAATGGACAAGGAGCATCATGCATGCAGATATTTATAATATGCGATCAATGTTACAGGTAGAATCTTTAATGCATTTTGAAATATAAAAATACTTAATGGAGTAATAATAGTTTCTAATCTCACAAGATTTTTATTCCCAAATCAGTTTCCGATAATTCATGTATTAAATGAGTAGATACCCATTCGTGAATATTATAATCTATCAGCTGGGAAGAATTTTCTGATACAATATCTTCATATCATACGTATAGTTAATTTTTGAAAATCTCATGGATTGAATGAATAGATACCATTAATTAATTCTATGAATATAAAACCTTTGGATACAAGATCTTCATACAAAATATATGAAAAATATGATGAGATGTGAATTATTAAATATGTAGGCATGATATAAGAAAAAAAAATAGTACTTGAGTCATTTTTTGGGAGAATTTTTAGGGATATATCGAAATCTTAGTTTTACATAAATTAATTCGTTTTATTTTAGGAAATATTTAAAGATTTATGCATGCATTCTTATTTAAATTTGGTATGAATTTATAGCTATACGATGAATAAGTTAACATATATTTCAATAAGTTTCTTTTTTACTTAGCCAATATAAACTCCTCTTTGTCTAATGGTCATCTTCTTAATTATTCCGTTTATTGCACCTTTCCAAACATCCTCTCATAGTTTCCACATTTTCCAAAAAATAAAATAAAATAATTATAATTATTACACAATTTGAATTTTTTATTATTTATATACTATGCATTCTCTTATATTTGTTCACGTCACTCTTCATAATCACTAATTTATGGGCTCGGGCCTGTAGGTTGGGTTGATGACTAAAAAAATGTTTTTGTTTTTATTTTTTGAGTTAATATTTTATATTTTTTAAAATATAAATGTAGAGAATGTGTCTTAAAATCACTAAAAAATATTTAGTATTGAATTCTTTTCATAAAAAAGAAAAGAAAAGATATGGGCTCCATTCTTGGACCGAAGCCAAAATTGTTACACACAACATGGGATGAACTTTAGGTATTTATAATATATAGCTATGCTTTTGTTGGGCTTGGAATTGTAAGAGAGCGACGCTGCCGCTGGGCAGAAAGCAGTTGCAGATACCCTCAGCACGGCTCATAAATGTCTTTGTAAACACAGACGCAGGTAATTCCACCAAAATTCTATTTCTTTAACTTTTTTTTCTTTAATCAAGCTCATAACTCAAATTATTCCCAACTTTGTTTTTTATCCGAATTTCATTATTTATTGGAATTTATTTCTAATTTTATTTTTTTAATATTTTTATATCTTGATCATTTTTCAGCAGCTACACTTTTTTTTAATAAAAACAATCTGTCGAATTTTGTCCACAAAATATTTTGATGCAATTTTCTTTTTCAAAGGGTAAAAGCTGAATTATAAAATTTCTAATTATGTTGGAGTGTTGTCGTCATAGCTTAATAAGTGTTTTTGACGCCTCCGTTTTTATTTTTATTTTGTTTTCTCCTCTTTCCCCTCTCCTAGTTTCGATTTGTGCGAACCTAGTTCTTATCTCTTCCACTGTTGGATCTTCTTGCTTTTTTCTATGGCAATTGGATCTTTATGCATTTTTAATTAACCTTTTAACATGTATATATTTTAGGAGAAGAATTGCATTTATTGTCTCTATAATTTGTTCATGACATAAAATTTTGAGACATTAAATTTCAAGTCATTTGGGCTGTCCCAAACAATTAGATTTTTTTTTCCTCACCATTGATAATGTTTTTAGACCTTTTTTTTTAATAGAAAAGGAAAATATCATGTGGGTTTTTGCATATGTTGGTGTTTCAATTTATTATTATGGTTAAATAATTATTAAAATAAAAATCTTGAAACAACTAGGTTTCAGCTCCTTTGCTATTCATATGAAAAGTAAAAGAGATATCCTTTTTGGTCTTATTTTTTCTTTTTAAAATTTTTATATTTTATTTGATTGAATTTTCTTATGGTTTAATTAGATGAAATTAAGTTTAGAGCTATTAGAAATATCAAATTAAAAAACAAAGGATTGAAATGTAAAACACAAAGAAAAAGGAAGGCAAATCTCAAATACACATCAATTCTTATTTTAATTTAAAAGTTAATTTTATTTATTTATTAATTTTTGAGTTTTAAAAACAGGAAAGTTACTGGAAAAAGAATAAAAAAAAAGTTTTTGTTTGTCATGATTTCGTTAACCAAAATAGTTAAACTATATATTAAATAATTTTATTAGATAAGAGTAGTTTAATGATAGTGATTTGTAAGAAGTTTTGTGATTTCAATTTGTTTTTTTGTGATCATAAATGAGTTTGAAGATATTACCAAGATGTTTTTTTGAGTGTTTTTATGTGAAGAGTAAGATTTTTTATCCCAAAGTTAAAAATGACATTTCGTTGGGTAATTGAGAATGATATTTTTTGTAGTAAATAACACATTATCTATTTTAAATTAAAAAAAAAAGGGTGAACGAAAATCTCATCCACCCTTTGTTACAGAAATATAAGCCAATATCATGGACCTAAGCTTCCATGCCCACACACCCCTGGGCCCAGGTAGTTGGCTACACGCAAGACTAGAAATCTTTTTTTTTTTTTTTAATTTTTTGTATAAAAATTTATCTCTTTTATGTAGTTTTTAGTTTATATTATTTCTTTAATTCAATTGAAATTAATGCCTCTGACTTTAAAATTTTTTTGTTCTCCTTTTTTCAAACAATAATTATTTTCTAAAATTAGTATCTTCACCTTTTTTCACATAGTAATTATTTTCTAAAATTGGTATCTCTAATATAAATAAATTGTATGAAGTATTTAAAACAAAGAAAAAAACTTGATTGTTCTTGATAAGAAAAAATAACTCGAAGGTAAAAAAAAATTAAAAGAAAAGTGGGCGTGAAACATTTGCATAATAGTTTGTTTTGTTTTAAAAAATATTAGTTTAACATTTTAGTATTTAAGTAGCTTGAACAACTCTTTTACAGTTAATTGATTCAATTATTTTTGAAATTTATTTTATTAAACATAAATAGCATCCTTCATTTCTAAATTAAAAAAAAAACCATGATATAATAAAATATATCTATAATATTTTATTAAATATTTTTTCATTATATTAAAAATTAACTTGAATTTCTAAAGCTAGTGTATTTCTTAAACAATATGAATTGTATTGGTAAGAACAGTCTCAACGAGTGAAAATAAAAGGAAAAAGCAAGAAGATACTGTCCTATGGAGTTGTTTTTTCAATCACACTATTTATGCTGGAATGACATGATAATAAAGGGGCTAAAATTACTAAAATTTAATTTAAAATGGTCAAATATATAGTTACGAGATCAATTTAAGGCTGGAGTTATGAGATAGTTTAGTAAACTCATGAATGAATTTATTTATTTAGATTTATTCTAAAACAGTTCTATTATGGAGAAAAAAAACTCTTCCTTTTATTTTTTATTATAATTTTTTAATTTTATTTTATAAAAGATAATTTTTATTTATTATTTTTATCATTATTTATAATATCTTTCATTATATTATGTGATCTATCATCATCTTATTCTCTTCACTCATTATTTCACTTTGTAATTTTTTAAATTTTTTTAATATTGTCACATAAAATAAAATAGCTAAAAGAAGATGTTAAAAATTATAAAATGACTATAGATTATTAAAGTGCATTGAAAATATATATTTTGGAATTTTTATTCTTAAACATATATTAAAAAAAATATGTGGGAAAAAAATTGGTTATGATATAACCATTCATAAAATATAAACATCTAGATTTCGGTGACCAAGATGACAGCAAGGCATGCATCCAGGTTATAAAGAGACCACCTGCCTCTTTGTTTTAGTAGGCTGTCGGCGTCATTATCACATGTCGTTGACGTGGCCTGCTTCCCCAAAATAGAAATGGTACAATCATTGACTCCCAAATCGTCCAACGGACTTTAAATTTTATAGCAGCAAATTATTACAATTGTTAATATTATCTTTATTATTATTTTACTTATGTTCGCCCCAGTGGACGTCAAGATGTGAGTTGTGTTTAAGATTTTAATAATAGTTATTTTTAAGGTATTTTTATTTATAAATATTAATATATTAAAATAATTTTAAAATATATAAAAATTAATTTTAAATAAAAAAAGAAATTTTTTAAAATTTTACTCATGCTGATTGAAATGCAATGCAAAACGGTCGCGTAGTTTTGTCATTAGCACGATTACAATGGATGAGACAAATTTCATCCCTTTCTTATGCCAACAAGAAAAAAAAAAAAAAAAGCAGCTCTTAGCTAACCCCTCAGGGAGTTAATAATTGGCTAATACATTTAATTAGGGTTGTTGTTTTGGATTAGACTCTCAAAATAAGTTAACAAGGGAGGGAGGGAGGGAGGGAGAGTGCTGCAGCTTGAAGACAAACTGTGCAAGCAAGAGAATCTTTTGGTACTCTGAGTTGGGACACTCAGAGCAGAGTGTCGACAATTCATTTAAGATTTGTCTTGCTTGCCCAAATCATGGCAGAAAGAGGATCTGCATGTTGCCTCAATCAACACTCAGAGCAGAGTGTACAAAGCAATCAACTCTTTGTTTTGTTCTTGATTATAATGCTTAATGTATCATGTGATTCGAGATTTTTGAACTCCAATAATGGAGATTTTTTGTTTTCTTACTGGAGTTAGCTGCCCCTATTTTATTTCACTATGTAAATAATGTTTTTGGCTCATTGTACGAGTCAATTGAAAAAAATACGAGTCAATTGCAAATAGAAATTTAAATGGCCATATAATGTACGTAGTTTGTCTTCTTTCATTGTTGAAACTGAAGTAGGTGGTCATTTTTTTTTTCTAAATTGCAGACAAAGTTGGATTTTATAGAGGCATTCAATGGTGCATGCTAGAAAGTATTGGATCAATTAGGTTCACTAAGCTTGCTATGTGGTTGTTCAGAGTTTAGCTAATCCACGTACATCAAATCAAAAATCAATAAAAAAAAAAATGTCTGCTTACCTGTGCCCAGAGATTTGTATTTAAGCATCAGTTGTGAGCATGATTTAACATCCAACAACTATTCTTTTCCTAAGATGGAATTTGAACAGCTCCATCACTCTATCAGCCCAGGCTCCACTCAAAGCATCCATGAATTTAGCCTTGAATCTGTTTTTTCCTTGCAATCAGAAGATTCCATTGTTCTGAGTGCCATTCAAGATGATGCTTTATATGATCACTGCATGGAAAGGTTGCTGGAAATTGAGACAGAACTCATGGATTTTAGCTCCTTGACTCAAGATAATGTAATATGTATTGAAAGTTCTGATGACGTCCTGTTTGAATTGGGAGAAACAACAGGGGATGTAAGCCTATTGAAGGAAGAAAACTCCCTCTTAAAGGGAATTCATGAAGAGCTATTGGAGGATAGCAGCTTAACAGATCTTCTGTTGATGGGAGCTGAAGTTGTTGAAGCACAAAACTGGACCCTCTCTTCCAAGATAATAGCAAAGCTTCGGAATCTCTTATTGGATGGAGAAAATGGTGGTAGCTCATTCAATAGGCTGGCTTTGTTCTTCACTCAAGGTCTGCATTACAAGAGCATTACTGCTCCTGAAATGTTGCTGCCTAGACCTGGTCAAAGGCAACAATACAACATGTCTTCCTTTCAAGTTCTTCAAGAACTTTCTCCTTACGTCAAGTTTGCACACTTCACAGCTAACCAAGCAATCCTTGAGTCCACACAAGGTGATCAAGAAATTCATATCATTGATTTTGACATCATGGAGGGAATTCAATGGCCTCCTTTGATGGTTGACCTTACAATGAGAAAAGATGTTTCATTTAAAGTAACAGCCATCATTGGTGACCAGCAGGATGTGGCTGCTGTTCAACAAACAGGAAGAAGGCTTAAAGAGTATGCAGATTCAATCAATCTGCCGTTCGTTTTCAAGCAGATGATGATGCTCAACGAAGAAGATTTTGAAAGTGTCGAAGTGGGGGACACTCTTGTGGTCAATTGCATGATCCACCAGCTCCACATGCCTAACAGAAGTTTTTCTTCGATCAAGACTTTCTTGGGTGGTGTCAGCAGGTTATCACCTAAGCTAGTTGTTTTGGTTGAAGAAGAATTATATAGTTTTTATAAATTTCCTTACATGTCTTATGTAGAGTTCTTCTGCGAGGCCATTCACCATTACACTACACTTTCTGACTCCCTCGTGAGCAGTTTCGTTAGTGCAAACGAAATGGAATTAAAATTGATAGAAAAGGAGTATTTGGGGGTGAAAATCGTAGATAGTGTGAGCCAATTCCCTTGTGAGAAGAAGGAGAGACTGTTGTGGGAAGAAGGGTTTGCGGCCTTGAAAGGGTTTAAGCCAGTCCCCTTGAGTTCATCTAATGTCTCTCAAGCAAATTTCTTGGTCAGCTTGTTCAGTGGAAGGTTTTGGGTACAACATGAGAAGTGCAGGTTGTCCCTGTGTTGGAAGTCTAGGCCTTTGACTACAGCTTCTATCTGGGTTCCAAAATCAGAAAAATAAAAAAAATAAAAGAGGTGAGGTAGTCTAACCCCACCAGTTTTTTAGTAATTTAGTATTGTTTTCTTCTCTTCTTTTTTTTTTGCTAATTAGTAATTTAGTATTTTATTTTTATTTTTCAACTTGTGATCAAAGTTTGATTCTCCATTGTATATGTTCCTACATGATGTATTGATAGTGGCTGCTATTGGTAATATGCTGCTAAGTTCTCTACTCTGAGTTGCTTTACAGCTGTCATATCTATTCTAGTTAAGATTGCTCTTGACAAATGTTGGATTTGAAAATAAAATTATTGAAGTACTTTCGATTTGATTATGTATATAATGACCTTTTAAAAGCTTAAACCTTCCATGGATCGGTATGTTTAAATTGTCTTCTGAATTTCCTTTAATAATAATAATAATTAGTTGTTGTATTTCGTTATCACCGCAGTTATAAAATGAATCGAAGTTGTTATGTCTAAAATCTGAATAACAGATCAGATGATTGGACTAATTATTTAAATTCTTTTATTAAAAATAAAAAAAACCTCAAACAATGTTGTTTTCAAAAATAAAAAAGATTAAATTTTCTCATGACTAAAGTTATTAAAAATCTGATTGAGAATGTAATTATAATTATTTTTTAAAATGTTTTTTATAATAAAATATATTAAAATAATTTGTATTTTATTTTTTAAAATTAATGCATGATTCAAAATAAAAAATAAAATTTTTTTAATAAAAAAAATTTTAAAATTTTTAAACGCTACCTAACCCACCAAGTTAAATTAGGCCTTACAACTGGAGTTAATACAGTGAAAGCCAATAATGAGACATCAAAATTAAAAAGTCACTCTTCCAAAAGAAATGGTCTGGTTTAGTTGATTTTTTCTGTGTTGCGTTACAACATGAATAGTTATATAATGATAATAGTAACAGTGATGTCATTGTAGACTATGAATTTTTTGTTATAATCAAATTAAGCTATATAATTCGTGCTTCTAATTAATAAAACCAAGCTAATTAAACAAGTGATCAAGTAATCTATTCCTCAAGGGTTTGGTCCGTATATCTATATATATATAATAGAAAATAAAAAAATAACACAAACCCTACAATTTTGTTGTACTAGGCTGTTACTATTTTCTAGCACGCTTGATATAAAATTAATATGGATCTCAAATATTTGATGTAACATCCTTATAGATGAAACTTTGTCACCATCATTGACTCCTAAGCCTACTGTCAAAAGCCATTTGGCTTATATGATGGACTTTACTTAGCAAGAACACTTCCCTAGCCACTGTTTGCTTTTATAGTTTTAAAATCTATCCTAACTCAGTAAATCGAGCTAGAATTTAGCTGATTTAAAGTTAAAATTAAATTTAATTAAAAAAAATTCAGTATAATCTGATTAATTTGATAGATTGACTCAGCAAAACTAGTAAAAAACTTGACTGTAGTTTATTAATTTTTTACTAAAATAATATTATTTTAATTTTTTAAAAAATTAACTACCCTAGAGTCCAGGTCTTCATCCAGGCCGGCCAACAGGCCGGGTGCAAAAATTATGTTTGCTTTCCAATTTATTATTACCAGCTTGGTTTATCAGATTTGATTAAACGTAAGAAAGTACTGAAAGAAAGGTATGAGTTTGTAAGCCAATTAGACAAGTTGTGTTCATGATGCTGCTGCTTAGGTCACACTTAAATAGTTTCAGACAAGAACATTTTACAAGGATTAATTATGTTAAGCAAGAGAATCTTCAAATTTATACCCGATACCTTCTAACATGTTTGTAGAGCAGCAAGAGGAATCGAATGTTCTATCTTACAGACAAAAGAGTAAGGACAAGTAATTTCCACCAGATGACAGAGTTACTACTCAGCTAAGCCCCACAAACTTTCGCCATGAGAGACAATAATATCTTGATTGAACCTTAATTTTGACACAAGAGAATTTGAACTACAGATTCGACCCTGCTGTCCCTACCTGCCCATGCATATATTTTGTGCTTTATTTATCAATTCCCTGTCCTTGAATTCTGGAACTTAATCAAAATAGCTCATCTTCCCGACAAAACTTTTTAATGGTTGGACTTTGTTTTAATTGATAAAATGAGATTGTAAGTCTATAAACTATCACGCATGCAAGCCGATTCATCTTTGATCAATGAACTCCTACATATTGCCTTTTTTCCGATTTTCTTTAACGGTTAATTGTTTATTCTATAGATAAAGTATTCTATTTTAAGATATCTTGAAATAAATAAATAAAATCGATGCACTCAATCTTTAAAAAATTAAGATCTCCATTTATATTAAAACATTTCTATACATGGTTTTATGTGTTGGAGATGTTTTATACTGCAATTATTTAGTTTAATATATAAAAAAATTATGATTGATAAAAATATCATGTAAGCTTATAAATCAAAGTAAAGTATTATGTGGGCATGTATATGAAATAGAGTTAAAATATTTTTTTTAACTTGCATATCACTAATACAACTTTATAACTTATCAATGGAATATTTTGTTAGTAGATAGAAATTGAGTTAATATATGTATATTATTTAAAAGGTAATTTGATATTTTTTTAATTTATAGGGCTTTTTATATTTTTCTATGGATAATAAGCTATACCTCTTAATTTTAGGTGATTTTCACATAAAAATTATATAAATCACAAAATAAAGGCCTACCACTCTAGGTATAGCAATCTCTTTATCTCAAATAGAGATTTAAAAGATTTCTCACTCATAATTCGTGTGTATTATTGTTGGAGGCTAGATAATTGAATAAAGCTGAAGAAGATCAAATTTTTATGTAATAAATATCTAAACAACTCTTATTTTGTTTAACAAGATCCTAGGGAGTCCCAAATAATTTTATTTTATTATTTTCATGGCTTTTATATATATATATATATATATATAGAGAGAGAGAGAGAGAGAGAGATTACTTATATCTATGAAAAAGTCACGTAATGATTATATAAGAGATTTTTAAACTTGAAATCACTAAGTTATTTTGATATAAAAAATATTATGTTTTGATTATGTTATATGTTATCTTATTATGTTAAGGTAATAAAAGGGTAGACGTTAGGTATAATATGAATCATATGAGGGTACTTGAGTCATAAAAAAAGTATTTATCACCCTAGATAAATTAAAAAATATATTTTATTTGTTCTTAAATAGTATTGACTGAAAATTCTTGACTAATTAAGATAGAATGAGAATTGAAAAGAGTTTTAAATCTTATTCAAATAATCAATGATTATAATATAAAAAACAAATATGATTTGATATGGTAAACATATTTAATGCTTTAATGTTAAATCAAAATATTATTAATAAAAGGATATTAAATATACTTAGAAATCAATCACTAAAATGTTAAATCTAACAACTAATGAATTTTCTAATATTCAAAGAATTATGATACGTTGCTAGACGATGCACTTGATTTTCAAATACAAATTAATTAATTTTTGAATTGATAATAAATTAAATAGTTTAATTTATTTAATTCTATTTGAATTATAATTATAATTTATATTTGAGCCAACATATTAAAAACCTAATGAGTCACATATATTAAGAACTATTAGTTAGAAATATGGTTTGATTAAAATATATTTGAGAAATTAAGAATTATAATATAATTAATATATGGATTATATTTCTAGACATAGAAAAATCAAGTGAGGACTTGTTTGAGTTAATTTTTAAAATTATCTTAAATTAATATACATATATTATTTATGAAAAAAATTGATATTTTGTTAATTTATAAGATTTGTTTCATATTTTTTTTATAAATAATAAACTATATCTTTTATTTTTATATAGTTGTCTGTTACATAAAATAAGGATTACTATCTTCTAAATAAAAAAGTTAATATAAAAAAGTTAATATTCTAGACATAACATGATTATTATCTTCTAAATAAAAGAGTTAATATTCTAAATATAACAATTTTTTACTCTAAATAAGAATTTAATAGATTTCTAACAGGTGGTTCAAGTAGATTACTATTAAAGATTGGATAATTGAATGATTTGTAATTTATAACAATTCAATATTTAAAAAATTATTCAAAGTCTAAAAAAAATTAAATTTTTAAATAATTTTATGTTTATCTAACATCTTAAAAACTTTTAAATAATTTTATTTTATTATTTCTGTTGTATATAATATTTTGAAACTCAACACTACCACCATCACTGCATACAAGTTCAATGCACTTCATTTCATGCGTGAACAATCCTCCCCGAGTCATCACCATGATTATGTTATTTAAGCCGAACTAGCCTCCCCCAGTTATCTTTCGCTGCTTGCAACTTTCCACTCCTCTCGAAAGTATATTGCCTTCTTTCCAAGAAAATGAAAGCAAATAGGTCAGGAGTGAACATTCTGGTAGAGGCTTAATTAAAGCCAGGTGCCGATTTGGGATATGACCCAGGTCGGCATGGAATAAGAATCAGGACTATAACGCCATAGAGAGTGAGCAAAGTTGGCAACACAGATTCTAATTTTTAGTTAGGAAAACATTGCCAGTGATCTGTAAGTCTGTGAAAAAAAGAAAGTAATCCAGGCAAGGAGACCATAAATAAAAAATTTAGACATCTACTACATGTGGAATATATGAACTGGACTGAGCTTAATTCAAAATCTCTCATGACTTTCTCTGTTTTAAAGGCTGGCTGACTTCATACTAGCTCCCAGGTAATTAAAAGTAACAAAAAATACCACTTGCACAAGCACTTTCCAAGGCTATGGCCAGTTATATTGGAACTAATCCAGGTTAAAAATCGGGATTTTTCATTCAGACCCCTGACGTTGAGATTGAGATCCTCAGATGATACCAGTATTGTGTTGGGATCCAGGCAAATTTAGAATAAATTTCAAAGAGAACACATAGTTAGAGGCAACTTTTATGTGTAAAGGTGACCAGAGATTCTCCTGCAATGCCACCTTCATACTTTTGACAGCTAAAGTTGGATATCAGAAA